ACTACCTTGAAGCTTTAGTAATTTACCGTCTATGGTGTCACGAGTGAATTAGGTCGTTAAACGGTCGACTTGTCCATAAACGCTGCGAAGACCAAAGTTTTTTTATACTGCATCCCTGTCCATGAGAAGACATCTCTCGAAATTGATAGCCGTGAACTTAAAAAATTAGATATTTTCAAGTATCTAGGGGCGATGTTGAGGCCCAATGGACACAATAGGGATGGCATTCCCTCCCGAATCAATTTCGTCCAGTTTCCTCAAACTTTAGAATGTGCTTATGCATCCGTCACGACATTTCTCCTGCCGCATAGGTTCGCGTGTACCGCGCGTCCTTTGGGTTTGCCCATCTCTGTGGCTGTGAATGCTGGACTGTTTGACAACCACTACTTGAGGGTCATCCTTCGAGTGAAATACACCGACTTCATCCCAAACGATAGTCTGCAATCATGTCGATAGCATCGGAAGAATATCCCATGCCACCAAAGAAAGATGACCGAGGTGGTTCTGATATGTTTTTCGCCATCAACCTCACGAGCTGAACGTTACTACCGTCAATCCGATACCATTACCAAACTGGAGAAATCGATTAGGGGATAAGCTCTAAATCCAAAGTTACTCGATCCCTTAAGACATGACATTTGTTTTTGGAACTTCGGTATTCGACCTCTGGTGTTGGTGGAGAGGATGGATTGAATTGTCCGGCTCCGCTGCCACAGGTCTTCGAGCGTGGAGTGGTACCATCCGGACATAATCGGGGCAGGCTCGATCAGGCATGATCGCAGCCGCGGACTAATTTGACACCAAAATGCCACAGGTTCGCCAATTTTTTTGAAATGGTCTTCCAAAAAGCATTTCTTACAAAGCCGTAACGGTACTGCCAAAGAGCCTTATTTCATATATATTGGCCAGAACAGTTACTGCCTTGGAGACAAGTCCACAAAACAAATTTGGGCCGGTAGACGCTAGGGGATAAGCGTCTCGTAGCATTTAAACTGCTTATAACGAAAATAACCCTCAATTGCGTAGTGGTTTGCAACATTTGATGCGATGTCGTTGCAACAGGGCCGTGGGATGTAGTAGAAACACACGTCCCCTAGTCTACGCCAATGACTCTTGGTCTCGGCATAAACTGCGATGTAGCAGAGGCTTGGCAAAATTATAAAGCCGGTTGGATACTGCGAGACGCCTCACCCTATTGTAGTTTCCACCCGATATCTACTTGCTCATTCGGCGTCCAGGGCGCTAGAGCGACAGTGAGCGAGATGCTCGCTAAAAGGCTACTGCTGCTAACTGATAATCAGCCATCTGATGATTTTCGAGAAAATTTTGTTGCATAAATAAAAATAACTGTTAACAACAAAAAAGTAAATTACAAAAGACGTGCTAAAGCATTTTTCAATCCGTTAGTAAATTACAAAATCCTCTCGGCCAGTGTAATTTTTTGCAAAGCCAGCGCCGTCGGCAGTTGGTTCGGAAAAGGCGACTTGGTCTCGGGTCAAATGCGTGAGGTAATAAAGGTTCTTGAGAACACAGTCGACTAGGGTGGTAGCTGTTTTCTGACGTCTATGCTTTGGTGAAACCCATAGACGTCTGATGCCACATAAAGGTAGCTGGAAGGAAGACTTTGTCGGACAAGCCTTCATGACGGGCGCGCTCGCAGTCTGACCATTTTCTTCATCCAGTAACCCAGCCTGAATGCGCCACGAAAGTAGGCTTCTGAGACCGCCAGTAAGTCGCTGAAGGTCGTAACCCTGCTGCTTAACCGACGTTACTGTCAGTTCCTCTGCAAGGCAACACCCAACTGCAGTTCTCTTTTCACCCTCAACGAATACAAATATTCGTACATAAGGAGGTAGTTCAACACCTGAGTTGTCGCAAAAGCGATTTAGATTCTTCGAAGTGTCATACGTGGGACGATCGTAACCGAGATCTCTAGCCATTAGTTCCGACAGACGTTGAAATAACGCCATACCGATTCGATCATCTTGAGGAATTTCAATAATTCTGGAACCATCAAAATGTTCTTCTAAAACCTTCTGATTCTGCCAGCGTGAAACCTATAAGGAAAACGCGTAAATTTTAGCACTTGGATGAAATTCTTTCAAGAAGCAATCCAAGTCTTTGAGGGGCATGCAAGGAAACTGAATTGCTATATGTCCAGCTGCTTTCGTAAAAAAA